CGATGTAGTGAAGGAACAAAGAAAACAAATGTATTGCAACTTTCTATGTGTCACCTATGCCTGTAACAATGGTTTTAAGTTATCAACCTGCTACATGCAGCACAGCCACTAGAACACCCGTTTCCCAATGCAATGGGCATCTGAATGAGATATGAGCTAAGGAAATAAAGACACTTTCATGGCCACTGTTAGAGTTTCTACATAGAGAGAGAGAGAGACAGAGAAAGAGAAAGAGAGAGAATCAGTAAACGCTTATGCGAATTTTATAATGTTTTAAAATAGTACATTTTTCTGTTGTTTGTTGGGTTTTTTTTTGGCTGTCAGTTAATTTTACTTTGTCTGTGCGTATTTAGAAGATAACTGTAACGTTTATTTAAGCTTAGATTATGAACAAAGGCTTGAGTGTACCTTATATGCGACGTGTGAAACAATCACACCTCTTGCATTTTCATAATCAGCTATTCGTGACATTGACTCTCTACTAGTATGCCTTTCATATACTTGCTAGAACAATGTAGAATTTTTACTTCAACTCTTCATGACAGTCATGTTCTGGAGGTTAATACTCCTTTGCCTGCTTACAACCGTTCCGGGGTTCATGTAGAATTTAATTTTCCTTAAAATAGTAAAAGATCTTGTGACAGATACTTTCTTCTGCTAATGTGTTATGGTATTTAGTTTGAAAGGATTAGAAAATCTTTAAATAGCACAAAATTCATATTCTGCGAACAAAAAAAAAGTAACCGGAAACGCAAAGATTGACTTAATTCTTCACACACCTCGGACTAGACGTGTGTTAAAAATCCGGAAATTCTAGGTTGGAGGAAAGAACTTTATTAATTAATGCTGACAGCTTTCCAATCATTCTTTGCCAAAAGTCAAGTAGGCCATTCTATATAGTAACTGAAACCTTTTAACATGTTTAATACAAGTAAAAACATATACGACGAATATAGTTTTAAATAATCCAGTTTCTATCATGCAGCATCCATACATTAAGATAAGGATAAGTTCCTATATTAAACAATTTGTTTAAAATTAGTACATGTATCTCTAAAATTTAACACCTAGCCTACCATAAAACCATGCAAAATAGTCCACAAAGGGTGTCATCAGATTTGATTGAAACTTTGTGTGCTTAAACAACATTATGACCATTATGAAAGAAGTCCTAGAAAAAAAAAATTCATCTGGTTCCCAGAAGCTGAAGGAGAATACTATTAATGAAAACATGTCAGAAAAAACTAAAGTGCTGGATAGACTGTTTTAAGCTGAAGCCAGAAACCGAGAATTGGAGCAGACTGTAAAAAATCTATTGACGAGAATTGAGACACTAGAGGCCTATAAGACTACACAGGGAGACGGTGGGACTTTCCACAGTATCCCTAACACAGAAAACAAATTTATTCCTGATTGTACCTCGAGTGACAAACTCATAGTGGGAATTAGAGATAAATTCACCAACTATGTACTTGGTAAAGTAGATGAAGAACTCAACAAACTACTTAACAACAGCTGTGATAAACCCTCTAATCCTGAACAATTTAATTCAAGTGAAGAATCTTTTTATCAGCAAAACTCTTTTGTGCAGACAATTCACCAATACTCTCCAAATCAGCAATTAAATCACCAATATTTTACAAATCAGCAACCAAAATACCAATATTCTTTTTACGGGTAACCTGTTTTCCACAATACATCTTATGAGCAACCAAGTCATCAATACTCAAATGCTCAATTACTATCAATATCATCACATACAAAACAGGGAACAAGAGATAGATCCCAATTATTCTGTTAGCTTCCACTCAGACGTCAATGATGATAGAAATATATGTATAGAAAACTTAATAGAAATACTTCCAACTGAACAAAAGAAAATTAACATAATTCGTTATATGCAGTTCTTAAATTCGTAGTTATTTGCCATAATTTCTACACATTTATATATACATATATATACATATATATATATATCCAATGCCAATATTGTGATCTACACTAACAGAATTGAAAGCAACAAAATACAATTTTTATTACGTATTTCTTTTCATTTTTTTTCTTCATTTCTAACCATTTATTGTTAACAATCGTTGCGTTAAAGAATTGAATCACTATTTGTATCAGATCCTTCTCTCCCTGTATCCTTTACATATCTTTTTTGTACGCATCATTCTGCCTTGGTTTTTTAAACGCATTTGTTGTTAAAATATGATATAATTGAATGTTGGTTTTCTGTATGACATGATACTCTGACATTGTATATTTTTTTGCTAAGACAGAATTATCATAACTGCTTTTATAATAAAGTAATAAAGAAACGTCGGTTCCAATATAAGGGCCACTCTTATAAAATTACAAATGATATAAACCTACAACACTTATAATATAGTCCATCTTGTTATTTGTGAAGTAGACCCATACTTTTTATTTATCATATATTTAGTAGTAAATACAGTAGTTTTGAATATTTGATAAATAGCCTGCTGTTTAATCTGTATCGCTCAATTTTGATGCAGACTCTTTATCACACCTCATTATCGCATGTCTACCCCTTATCGCATCCCTTTATCGCATGCCTACCCTTTATCACACCCCTTCTCGGAAATATGAAAATAGCACAAAAATTAGAGAAATATTTTTCTTAACTGGGTCAAAAATGGAACGGTCATTACGACATTTTTTTTGTGACGTCACATACGTCGAGCTTTCATATTTTCTGGCACACGAAATGAAATCATAAAAAAACGGTCAGCAAGAGGGTTAAACTTTATAAATTTTGATATTTCAAAAGTGCACATTTTCTCACGTCTCAAAGTAGTCTTTTGTTTATTACAGTATACTTGTTATTCAATTGCGGGTTTATTGTTACTATTTTTTTATTAATAGGTTTTATTCAGGTTTTATTCAGAATGTGTTTTATATAGTACAACATTACTAAAGTAAAACAAAAAGAATTTCAATGAAAACAAAACACAAATAAACAACAAAATTCGATAAACAAAATGTTTCTATGGACTACAGGACGCAAATTGTAAGTTAACCAAGGTGCTTTGGATGAATAACTAAGCAGTTCCTATATATGATAAAGCCGTTAGAATAAGGCAAAAATAAACCTGAATGTAACCCAGGTGCTTTCGATCAGTAAGCAGTTCATATAAACTCTCGTATTTAAATATCTGATAAAGCATATAAAACATGGCAAAATCCGTATCACATACCGTATCATACTCGACCAAAATCATCCCTCGTGCTGAAATTGATATCACGGGATTACAGCATGTGATACGGATTTTACCATGTATTATTCTCTATGTATTAGGTCATGGTACTTTTCAATGATTATTTTAGATAAAGAATGAGACGTTCTTAACAAAAGCCTGGCTCCTGAGTCTTTTGATGTTTACACAATGTGTGCAATATATTATGTTGCACAATCGAACCCTTGTAGGTAGATGCAGTTGTCGCAGTACTGTGGTGAAGTAAGGACGTGTAGTGCTTAAGCAGTTCCTACGCGGATGCTTTCATACTGTCTGATCCGGTTTTTGTCGGTGACCTGAGATATTTGTTCTGGTTGATGTTACTGTCCGGTTTTTCAGGTGAAGTAACCGGATGCAGCAACCTGAAGATCCTAGTGTTTTCTATGCAGGCCAGGATGTTGACGGTCAGCTGTTGAACCTAATTGCTTGAACAGGTGTAATTGTTTAGATGGCATGCAACGTTAAATATATTAAAGTCTAGCTACTGCATCTTGGCTTGGAACGGCAAATACAGAATATGGATGGGATTAACTAGTTTGCTGGAGTCAAGCCGTCCAAATAACTTGGGACAGTGGTGTAACTCTACAACATAAGATGAAACTATAAATCTCAGATGCAAACGGCATAACTTATCAGAACGAAACAAATCAGAAATAAATGTCTGATAAAAACACAGACCAGAACGGTATTTTTCTAACTCTTACACAATTTATCCCTTACCTGATTTGATTCTTTTTTATTTAATAAACGTGTGCATGGTGGGGTTCGTTTGATCTCAGTTCTTCATTGGTCAGAATTCGGTTATGACGTCAAATTTTCTTGCTTTCCTTTGAAATTCATATTGTGACGTCATGAGAAAAGACTACCATGCTGATGACGTCACGAAGAAAGAACACATCTTTTTGCTGGTCGTTCGAAAAGAAGGATAAAGATTGTCTGCATATCGTCTAAAAATCATTAGAGAAACAGACTCCACCACCAAATGTCGTGCAATTCGATAATTATCCACTCTTGATAGTTGAATTTGCAATATATAAACTGATCGGCGAGCCTCACGTTTCAAATTTAAAAATTTAACTGTCTCAATTAGATAAATACTGTATCACACTCGATGCAGTGGTGGAATCTATATATATACACCCTCAAAACAACAAAAAAGACACTTAGTACACATATGAAAGTACCTGCAGTTATTGACATCTAGCTAAAAACTGTTAAAAAATCATTCAGCTAGGACTAAATCTCCTTGCAACGTAGAGACATCATAAAATCAAATTCTTCATGTCAACCAAAAAACCCCTTACATAAATCCTTGGTTACTTATGATTTGTTAGGCTTTATTTTGGTATGTAAATAATACTTCTTCAGTTTTTCAACAGAATACAAATTAATGTAGATTAAACCAATTCGGTTGTTAATTTTGTTTACTTCTCACATTGTTCACAACAAACGGAAGCGTTTTTCTGACAGAACCTTGCTCGTGGAAACTGGAAACCAAACCTTAATGTATCAATAACATGAATTAGATGAGATATTTTATGACTACCAAAATTGGTACTTGTTATATAAATATGCAAGTTCAATGAGTGTCTTAACCTTACATGTAAAACTGATCAAAAATGGACAACCTCTTTAATTGAAAATAATTAACATGTCGATCAAAAAGTCTGATAAATTATTTCTATGGGTGGTCAATAACCCATTCAGGTCCAGCTTGTTGATGACATAAGCTAGTTAACATCATGAACATGTTTCATTATTAACCCAGCGACACCGTCTTCTCTCTCTTTTGCATAGTGCCTTCTGAGCAAGACATATGGTCGGCTTATCATTTGTATTTTCCAGATGATATTTACAGCCTATTGACTTTGGGCCGATTTTCTGAAAATAAAGAGTATATGGTTGATTGTCGTTTTTTCAAGTATCCATAATCTTGTAGGCAGATCCTTTTACTTTGGCATGTTTGGAAATTGCACATTTTTTTCAAAATTATATATGGTTGCCATGGTAACTGCCAAGGCAAAATTTCATAAAAAAACAAGGCGTTTTTTAGAAAAATCAGCCAACTTTATTCATTATTTTTCAGGTATGTATTTTGCCAACAAAATTAAAACAATTCATTTTCAAGACAATGTGATACACATACAATCAGATTGTAAAAACAATATTGTGACCTCAGTTGTACATTTCGGGTAAATTTAGGTTGAACTTAGAACAAAATTCTCAAATTTCTACTTTTTACAAATTGTGAAGTTTACCATATATAAATGATTTAATTTCTTTAGTTACCAAGTTTAATATTTCAAATGATGTACTGTACATTATTTATCAAGCATAATAATTTAAAAAAATGATTCAAATTTTTGGGATCTATAAGCATTTTTGGTAACAAAAATACAACATTTTAGGCTTTTTATGCAAAAATAATTCCATCATTTTCAGTAAAAAGTCAATTTTTAATATTTTTATTTCCCAAAGTTACTACTTTTAAAAGTACTTTCAAAGTTTATTCAAATTAAACAATTTGTCACTGAAAGTGTTAAATAAGTGTTTTAAATTGTAAATAATTATTCAAATAGGCCCCTCGACCCAGCTGGGGGTAGGGTGTAACTATTTATACAGCAAGAAAATATGTTCATAGCACACAGATGCCCCACTCCTCATACTATCATTTTCCATGAATATGGGTTAGTTACAAATTAACCTTAACCTTAAAAGAAAATTTATAATTCATTGTTTTACAAAGTTCTGCTTATTCAAGTTATAAGAAGCCATCTTAAAAGAAAATTTATAATTCATTTTTTTACAAAGTTCTGCTTATTCAAGTTATAAGAAGCCATCTTTAAAGAAAATTTATAATTCATTTTTTTACAAAGTTCTTCTTATTCAAGTTATAAGAAGCCATCTTTAATGAATTGTTATATTCATACTTTTAGAAAGTGTCATGGACAAACAAACTGGATGATGGTCAAATTTTATTGTTGTAACATATATACATTAACCATTTATAACTGTGCATTACCTTCTTTAATAAGAAGCAAAAAAGATCATCCATAATAATAAATTGCTCTACAATGATACAATTTGTTATTCCATTAAGATATTAAACTCCTGAATGTTTTTTTAGATAACTAAGTTTTTTGCCCTAATGAATGGTTCAAAATAAACGGCACAACATTTATGACAACTGTGCAAAATTTCATTGGCCTCCTTACTTATATACTTATGAAAAAGAGATTTAGAAAATACATAAAAGCATACCATTACTTAAAATAACCATCGTCAAGTGTTGCCGACTTCAATAGTTACCATGGAAACAAATATTATCCATAGCAACATCCATTCAAAAGCTGTATAAATTGAAAATTATGTAAAACAAATACATATAAAGAGGGTGTTTATTTTCGAATTGGAATATGACTGCATGCTTTGCTTCACTCACAATCATGTTTGTTTTCATTTTAGAAGGTTCAACAAATGTAATATATAATGTAACATTGGGGTTGGAGGGTCGGGAAAAAAAGAAGGGGGTAGGTTTATTTTTTAAATGTTTCATACATGTAGATCCTTGAAAAGATAATTGCGTTTGGTCGGATTTTGTTCAGAGTTCATCATCTGATAATCAATTTATGAAAGTTAACAGATGACGAACTTCATGGGATTGCAATAGACCAACCTGGCTTATGGTAAGGCATGATAAATATTGTTCCTTACCGATTGTAAGAAAATTCTTAATTTCTTAGGGCACACACAAGTCTGAGATGTTATCCCACCAGCAAAAATCACAAACTTGACCTGTAACATAATAATAAGATTACAAACCAAAAAATAGAATCATTTGGTCAAAGCATTTTTAAACTGAAACTAAAGTGTGATGGACGGACGGATAGACGGACAGACCAATTGAACACATTTAAAGTCGGTGGCGACTTTAAAAAATAAATAGTCAATTGGAGATCGTTGCTGTCAGAAGTCCAATATAATGGAATCCTCTTAATATATATGGCTATAAGCATATCATTAATATCATGTGTTGTACTACTTTTCCGCAATTGAAATTCTGGATCTCCGAGATAGACGAATAGGTACATCTGCTAAGTTGGCATTGTGCTAATCCCGGTAAAATAATTATGCTATTTTCGGCAAAATTATATCAGAACAAAATTATTGTACAAAATAATTGTATTAATTATGAATCATTCCTTACTATGCACCGTACTACATATATCTCATAATTTCATGATTCCGGTAACATTAGATCTTTTTTGCAGGGGAGATTGGGTTTAGTTGAAGCACAAATTTAATCCTTCTGAAATCCCCCTCCTCTCCTTTTAGATAGTAAACATGTAAACTTAGTCCGTCCCAAAATTGGTTTCCATTTTCTAACTTTAGTTTGCCTCAACAAAATGTTATGAAACATATACACAATGCTTATTACAACAAAACAGAGATCCAATTTTTAATTTTGGTGGCGTCACTTTAACTGTTCCCGAGTTATGCCCGTTTTGCTTTACTTTGCTTTGTTTGATACTTTAAAAACGATTAAAACCGAGAACCAGATCAGTTTAGAACTGTAAAGTTTGCCTAAAATGGCCTGGTTAACTGAAGAAATTTCTAAAAGTGACCATGTGATCATAGGAGAACCTTTCTGGAGCCCTTTTTTCCCTCTAATACATACCATATAATGTTTTCACCTTTTCTCCTATCATGTCAATTACTGCCCCATTCTGTCAATCACTCTGTATCTTTAGAGGAGTTCGGGTTAAAGGGTCATCCCAACCGTGTAGAGTAAATGATATATACCGATTCGATTGGCCAATAACTGTTTTAACACATAATAAACGCCACCAATTTTCGTGTATGTTTTAGAAATACTGCAATCCACGGCTCCAAGGAAAGTTTCTTGTAGGGAAAAAAGGGGGGAATACGCCTTTGTGTAGTAATAAAAGGTTGATAAGTGTTAAATTATTAACTTTCTTATGTTTAGGCTTCTTCCTAAATTGTTACATTACTTGAAGAATTGCGATTTAATGGAAGATTTTTTTTTTTTTCATTTCTGTTAGATTTATTCTCAATTAAGTCTTTATATAAATTAGTAATGATTAAGAATTTGACATATTGTATAGATACCTATAAGTACTAGTATTGTTGAAAACTGTATGTTGCCCGCTAGATGTCATTAGATGTTTTTGTCGTTTGATTGCTGTGTTATTGACGTATAACCTCCATCTCCTACAGTTTTAGTTCCATTTTGAAGTACTTTCAAATAGGTGTATGAAAAATCATATCTGAAAGCGTTATTGAGTATAGATTAATAGCTTTTCTTTCCCTCATTAATATGCTTAGAGAAAGATGAACCGAGGAGAGATGTACCTAAATTTAGAAAGTTAAATAATCAGAAAAAAAGGTTTCACTTTCAAATCTTAAACTCTCCCTCCCCTTGTTTTGACACAGTCACACTTGAATATGATCTTCTTTAAATTCGATCCCAAAATAGTCACTTACTAGGAATAACTATTCAACAAGTCGTAATGAATTCCATTGAGCACAAACACTAATCCAAATCAGATTTCATTTATTTGAATATTCAAAAATGCAGTACTTTTTTGGCAGAAATAAGTAAAATAGTTAATATTATCTGGTTTGACTTTGAAGCATTTATTTAAGATTTACACTGTACACAAAATATCAGTCCCTAAGCAAATGGCAAAATCTAAAGCTCAAACACATCAAACGAATGGATAAAAACTGTCATATATTAATTCTGACTTGGTACTGGCATTTTCTTATGTAGAAAATGGTAGATTAAACTTGGTTTTATAGGTAGCTAAACCTCTCAAATGTCCTTATAAGGATCTATGAAAGATTCAAACAAAAACTAACAACCCTCCACCCCCTCCCCCAAAATGCCACAGTGTATATATATTCAATTTGTTGAACCTTCTCAAGGAGCGAAGACAGGACTGTGAGTGAAACAAAGCATAGCATGCAGTTATATTACCATTAGAAAATTTAACATTATTTACATAATTATATGTAATTTTTACATAAAATTATATTATATATCTTTTGAATGGATGTTGTTATGGGTGATATTTGTTACCATGGCAAATGTTGTTAACAATACTTCACGATTGTAGTTTAAAGTAAAAGTATATATATGCTTCTATGTAGTTTTTTAAAGGTTTGGAAACAATTGAGAACATTGAAGTCCCTATACTGCAGAATTCAACAAATAATAACTCTCGTTTCCAGGGGAAAAATACGTTGCCACGGTGATAAAGTTCAAGAGGGTCCCACGCAATATTCTATTTATTTCGGTCAAGTAGTATTCAAACTTAGTTACTACAATGCTAGCTAAGCTTTACATATTTGCACTTTTCGGAAAAACACACGAGAAAGTTTGATAATTTCACAAAACTCCATGATTCAGAAAAATTGAAAATATGTGTTTTTTAGTATATCCTAACAAAAATCTAAAAGTTGGGTTGAACTGCAATCTTAACTTAAGTGAAGCTTAAACCAAGTTATAGTAATGTTATATATGAAAATTTATGAAAACAGTTTGATTCTATTCATAATCAGGCTCTGAATTGTAGTGATTTAGCTGATTTTTCAAAGGTTTTACTACGCTTAACTACCAACAAATAGAGTGTCCATTACCATGGCAACAACTCATAAATTGATTATCGGATGATGAACACGGAACAAAATCCAACCAAACGTTGCAGCAATTATTGTTTCAAGGATCTACATGTATGAAATTTTTTTAAAAATAAACCTTCCCCCCCTTTTTTTCCAAAACCCTCCAACCCCAATGTAACATTATATATTACATTTGTTGAACCTTCTGAAAAGAACAGACAAGACTGTGAGTGAAG